ACCTGCTCGAGAAGGATCCGAATGAGCGGTACACCTGTGAGAAGGCCTTGAGTCACCCCTGGTGAGTGAGACATGGAGTGGACTCTAGACCCCAGCTCTGTGGGTCCCAAAACCATGCTGACTCATTCACATTGCATTCCTCCAGAATCTGCTTGCCCTGATCCATGTAATGTCACGATGAGCAAGGACCACGCCATCGTTCATGAGGCCCAGGTGGAGATTCAAACAGCATTGGGTGGAGCAGGTTCGGATGCAAGGGTAGCAGCTGAGTTGTCTGCTCAAGTGCGGAAGGCAGGTGCAGCCGAGCGCTGTCATTCAGCACTGGGACAGGGTGCAGTGCTCAGGACTAGTTACTCAAGAGGTGCGCAGGAATGGGAAACTCCATCCTGTCCTTAAGAGCTTTGTTTTACTCAGGGATCAATAACTATTCCAGGTGAAATGATTTAAAACAATTGCAAAGCAACCAATTGGCAAAATAGGAAAAGAAATCTTAAAATACTTTTTCATGTTCTCCCTGACTCCATGTACAGTAGCTCCTCACTTCCTACCCCAGCAAGCCTGGATAGCCTACCTCCTTTGTCTTTCTAGTTGTCCCTAATCTGGCCTGACCCTTTATCTCCAGCCTCTTTTCCCAGGATCCCCAGCATACCTTCTCTGTCCAGATAGGCCTGGGAGCTATACTTGTCTCCCTGCCATCCCTTACCCTGCATAACAAGCTCTTTCTTAACTGTACATTGGAGCAGATCATTCCCACCACCTAGAATGTCCTGCCTCTTGCCCTGTACGTAGCCATCCTTCAGGATCCAGCTCAGTCTGTGCCCTTCCCTGAAGCCCCTGATCCGTGCAGCCCATGCCAACCTCCCCAATTCCCACTTCTCTTTATAGTCACACAGCTGACCATGCATCACTGTAGTCCACAGCATGAACAACACCCCACACCTAGACCGTAAGCTCCTAGGGGTCAGGGCCATGTCTCTTACTTCTTGAGATTCGTTAGTAGTTGGCATTGTACTATGCACACAGCAGGTGACTGAGGAACACTGCAGACCAGTGAATAAGAGGCTAAGGAGATAGAAAAGGGGCACACTGTACCAGATGGCCTTATGGAGGAAGGCTTCCAGGAGGAGGTGGGTTCTAGGCAAGGTTTTGAGCTAAGGGATGGTGAATAACCTAGTGTCCTGTGACGCTGGCTCCAATAAACTTTTTCTATAAAGCAGCAGATAGTAAATATGTTAGGCTTTGCTGGTGATACTGTCTTTATGGCAGCTACTCAACCCTGCTGTCACAGTGCAAAAGGAGCCACCAACAATACCTGAATTAGTGGACACTGCTGTCCCCCCATAAAACCTCATTTACAAAAACAGCCAATGGGTAGATGTGGCCTGTAGGCTGTAGCTTGTTGACCCTGCTCTAAAAGTTGTTGATTTTTTCAAAGCTAAAGCCCACTGTGACCTGACCCGGGGGACAGGAGCCCTGGTTGCAGCCCTTTCTTGTTCTGGGCTGCCCTTGCTCTGCACACTCTACCCAGCTCTCACCTGGACCTGCAGGCACCCTGCCCGTCCCCTGGCTGAGTGTCCATACCCACCCAGTAGCCAGGTGTCCCCTCTTACATCCACAGGATTGATGGGAACACAGCCCTCCACCGGGACATCTACCCGTCAGTCAGCCTCCAGATCCAGAAGAACTTTGCTAAGAGCAAGTGGAGGGTGAGCTGTCCTCTCCAGGGGGTGGGCAGGCTGCTCTGGGCCCCTGGAGGCTGGGCTGGTGGGGGCTGACATAAGGACTTTCTTTGGGATGTCCCAGAAGGCACTAGAACTCCCTGTACCCTCTCTGAAATGAGAAGTGGGCACACAGGTTTCAAGAGGCCACAGGCAAAGGGAAAGCTTAGGCCCTGAGGCTCTCTGAGGTTCCAGAAGGCCAGAGGCTGCTCTTGTGTCTCCTTAGCAAGCCTTCAATGCAGCAGCTGTGGTGCACCACATGAGGAAGCTACATATGAACCTGCACAGCCCGGGTGTCCGCCCAGAGGTGGAGAACACGCCACCTGAAGTGCAAGCCTCAGAAGCCTCCAGACCCAGCTCCCCTGAGATCACCATCACTGAGGCACCTGTCCTGGACCAGAGCGTAGCACTCCCTGCTCTGACCCGAGTGCCCTGCCAGCATGGCCGCCGGCCCCCTGCCCCGGGTGGCAGGTCCCTCAACTGCCTGGTCAATGGCTCTCTCCGCATCAGCAGCAGCCTGGTGCCCATGCATCAGGGGTCCCTGGCTGCCGGGCCCTGTGGCTGCTGCTCCAGCTGCCTGAACATTGGAAGCAAAGAGAAGTCCTCCTATTGCTCTGAGCCCACACTCCTCAAAAAGGCCAATAAAAAACAGTACGTATTTTCAGCCAAAGATGGAGCTCCAGCTTGGGCCTGAAAGCAAGCAGGCAACAGGACAGAAAGAAAATGGACAAAAGGCCTCTCTTACTCACAGGCAGCTCTATAGGGTGGGGTGAGCTCTGGATCAGGGGGCGAGGAAAATGCTTCCAGCCCTGTCCCCATCACTTCCTAGCTGTGAGGCCATTGGCAAGTCAGTGAATGTCTCTGCTTCTAGTTTGCTCATCTGTAAAATGGGTTGATTTGAAGTCTATTTACCCGCTCAGCCTGCCTCAGAGGTGCTGTAAATGGTTAGTGAAGCAACAGAGATGATAAAAGCCCACAGAAAACTGGGTATGTGCAAGTGGTGAGCATCAGATTCCTCCAGTTTCCAGGGCCTCTGTGCTTTGGAGGAGGAAGGGTAAGGGGAGCTTGGTTGTCTTTATCTTTTCTGCAGTGTCTTGAACTTTCTGAACCTCATGAGGGGAGAGCTGAGTGGATGGGACAGGCACAGAGAACTACCACCTCTGCCCTGCCCTACCAGTGCTTCTGCTCCCCTCAAATACTTCAAAGGTCGTTGCTTCATTTCCTTTCTAGGAACTTCAAATCGGAGGTCATGGTACCAGTTAAAACCAGCGGCAGCTCCCACTGCCGGGCAGGGCAGACTGGAGTCTGTCTCATCATGTGATCTCTGGAGCCTGTGCCTGTGTCACTGTAATTTTCAGGTGAGGAGGGTCACAGTGTGAGGCTTGGGGAGAGCTTCTGTCGCAGAAGAGAACTCCATGCCACAGTGTGAGTGGTGGGGTCTGAGGTGGCAGCCCCGCCCTCACTCTGAACCCCTTTCCCTCGCAGGAGAGATGTTCAGCTCCTCTGCTCTTTCAAACCTGGTGTCTATGTGGCAGAGGGAGGAAGGCAGAGCAAGTAGAGCAGAGCCTAGCAGGAGTGGCTTCTGGCCAGAAGCACCAGCCTGCTGCCACGGGGGCAGCCCCTCACAGGACGCCCAGGAGGGAGCCCCAAGGCATGGGCAGGAGGAGCGGTGCCTGCCAGCTTCCAGGTCTCCCTGACCTGCCTGCTCTATGCCCCCACACCCTACGTGCCGTGGCTCTGTGCAATGTACGTAGATAGCTCTCGCCCGGGTCTGTGCTGTTTGTCGTGAAAAGCTTAATGGGCTGGCCAGGCTGTGTCACCTTCTCCAAGCAAAGCCATAATGGAGCATCTTCCCAGACTCCCACACTGCACACACTCACTCCCACCTCTCCAGTCTCCATCCTCTTGGCCAGATTGGGCTCATTAATGTCGTTGCCTGCCCATCTGCATGAATGACAGGCAGCTCCCCATGGTGGTCTGCCTGTGAGCTCTTCAAGTTCTAATCCTTAACTTCAGGATTAGCTCCCAAGCGAGCTGAGACCCAGCCAGCCTGCTCCAGGCACACTTCTGGCCCCTCTCCCTGCCTCAATCTAAAAGCAGTGCCACACCCTCCAAAGTGGAATAGAAAGAAATTCATGAGTAAGGGCTGCAAGGAATTCTTACCCTGACCACATGCCCTCGTGCACACACCCCATTGAGTTAACATTGGAAGTTGACTATTTTAATGTCTGCCAGGAGTTCTAATCCTGCCTCTGTTCCCCTTTCTCTCCTTGAAAGTCCGGTGCACTGTTCTTGTCCTTCCCCAGTTTTCTCGCCCTCCACCCCTCCAGCTTCATGCTCAGTGTTGTGCTCAATAAAATGGACTTATTTTTCTCTATGAGGCTTTATTTGGTTCTTTCAAAGTTAGGAGTAGTTCAGGGACTTCTGAGCATGTCTGGAGTGCAGAGTGCATGGATGGCTGCGGTCAGCAAGGAACCAGCAGTTGCAGCTGAAGTACACACAGCAGCACATACAGTGCTACAGGCACCCAGGGACATGAGTTACACCATGGACTCATTACTTCTCACAACAACCTCTTGGGGCAGGTTCTGTTAGAACCCAGGCAGTCTGGCTTTAGCAGCCATTCTCTAAATGGCCACATTACATGAGCCTGAGTTTGACCCCCAGCTATGCCCCGACCTGCCATATCTGTGACCTTGGATAAGTTACTCAGCCTTTTGTGCCTTGGTTTCCTCACTTATCCAATGGGAATAGCAGTGCCGCCTGCCTCGTGAAATGATGCAGTTGATGTGCCCAGCCTAGTGGCCAATAAATAATTAAAATAACAATGATCAAGAAGTTAATGTAGATAAAATGTCTAGCACAGTGCCTGCTTGGGCCACAGTTAACACAAAAATGTCCACGCTATTCCAGATCACCTCTACCCCACCTGCCACACATATCCATTTACAACTTCTATTTAAGATCCCAAGAGACACAGATTCTAGTCTTAGTCCTGCCTCTGGAAGATGTGTGAATTTGGACTTTCCTTCCCTTCCCTGGATTTCTGTTTCCCCACCTGTTGAATCGCTGCTTAAAGATGAAAACTGCTTGTCTGGTCTCTCAAGGATAGGCTCCATCAGGTTCTTAGGAAGAGGAGTCCAGACTCCCTAAATCTGGGTGTCCAGCAAGCCAGGTGGAACAGAAGAGAGCAGACTATGGACTTGAACAGAAGAGGCCCCATGAACCCCAAACGGGAGGCAGAAACAGTAGCAGGAGTCTACCCAGTGAGGAGACAGGCTGTTTTTCCTCATTGAACCTCCAGGCTCTTTTCCAAAGATTTTTATTGGGCTTTTCATTTCCACATCACTTTCGTTAAGTTTTTGTGTTTGGTCCAGGATTCTGCCCCAGTGAAGAACTAAAGGCAGGGGATACTACCCAGCCCATCTTCCTTTAGTTGGGATACTGCCCAATTAAAACTTGAGAGCTTTTAGTTACAGTGGCATCCCAGTCGCCACCATCTCCGTCGGTCAAGTGTAACCGTCCCATTGGCTTAGGCTCAGCTGTAGCCCAGGGTAATCTTAATAGCTGCACACCAAGGGTGGTCCAGGCGGGGCTTTAGGCTGCATGAAAGTCTCCTGGAGACGTAAAGCATTCCAACCCAGTCTGCCCTCAACCAAAAGCAAAGGGGGCAGATGAGTGGGGCAAGGGGCTGGAAGCTGTAGCATCATTTGCAGGTGGCGTAATAGAGCACGCGCCCGTTGATGTGGTCACGGATCTGCTCCACACGCTTCTCCAGTCCTGTCAGGTCTGCTGAGCGCAGCATGATGGCTTCACTGCCTCGCAGCAGCTCCGACTCCATTTCTAAGGCAAATGGAACAGCAGCAGGAGGAGGAATCGATGGTGAGACTCCCAAAGACTCCCAGCCCTTCCTTCCCCTCCTGCTAACTGGAGGTAGCACGTGCAGAGGAATCCCCACCAGAGAAATCTGGCCTCTAAGGCAGTGGTGCCCCTCCAGCTTCATGCCTCTCCAGCCCGTTTCGCATGCTTAGAAACCTGGCAGGGGCCAAACCCAGCAGGCCCCCATTCATTATTATCCCTGGGTCCCTGATCCTCTGGGCTCAGTCGTCCCAGGCTAATGAGGGAGGCCACAGACACCAAGATTAGCAACCCAGTGCTGCTGGACTCAGACAGCTGCCATCCCACCAATGATCCTCAAGTGGGCACCTTGACAAAAAAGCTGGATGGGTGACCAGAATTCCTCCTCACTTTCCCTCCCCAAAATGCCGCTCCAGATAAATCTAGCCCTCCTCCTCCAGTTCATTCTCCATACCTCCACCAGATGATGCATGGAGGTTTGAAGAACTCTGTAAGTGACTCTGTCCAGCCTTCCCCCAGTAGGCAGGAGTCCCTCTGTCACATCTATGAGAGCTGGTACCCCGCCTCAGCCTGAACTTTTCAGGAATAGGAAGGAAGCAGGCACTGCCTCACAAAGTTCCAATTTTAGGCAGCTCTAGTTATGAAAAAAATCATCTTCTCATGAAGCCACAATCTGACTGCCTCTTGCTTCCACCTCTTGTCCCAGGTTTGTGTCCTGGGTGTGTAACAATGTACCTTCTCTGTTCTCACATGGAACCCTTCACATTTCTGAGGCTTTATTGTCTCCAGGTTAAATATCTCCAGTCTTTTCACCTATTCCTCATATGATAGAATTGCTGTGTTCCAGCCTGGTCACTCTCCCCATGATGGTTGCCGGTTTGTCAATATCCCTTCTAAAGATGTAGTAGCCATCACTTGAACACCATCCCCCAGCCGAGATCCTATCAGCAGAGTGTAACAGTGTTATTATTGGGTTGACACTCAGCCAGTAGATACCCATATGAACTCACAGGTTGATAAAATATTTAAACATGGCCATAGCGGTTGTTAAATAGCCACCATTCTGTTCCCTGGTACCCACCCTCAACCCGCCTCCCACCCCTGGTCAACACGTGATCTTCCCCCATTTTCCTGCAACTAAAGGTAAATTCCTGCAAGCACGTGCATTCCTGTTCCAAAGCTACAACCTAAGTCTTTTCTGGTTAGTGGCACGCCTCGCCAGCTGCTAAATAGTCTTACCTTCGGCCAGGCGCGGTGGCTCATGCCTGTAATCCCAGCATTTTGGGAGGCCGAGGCGGGCAGATCACGAGGTCAGGCGTTCAAGACCAGCCTGACCAACATGGTGAAACCCCATTGCTACTAAAAATACAAAAATTAGCCAGGTGTGGTAGTGTGTGCCTGTAATCCCAGCTGCTCAGGAGGCTGAGGCAGGAGAATCGCTTGAACCCAGGAGGTGGAGATTGCAGTGAGTAGCGATCATGCCACTGTACTCCAGCCTGGGCAACAGAGCAAGACTCTGCCTCAAAAAAAAAAAAAAAAATTGTCTTACCATCACCCCAAGCTATTACTCCCTTCACTTTGTGTTGCTTTGTGTTGGTTAGCTCTTTGGGATGCAGCAAGCATTGCTGGCTTATAACAAGCTTGTAGTTACTCAAAACTCTTGGGTCTTTTTCAGGTGAGTAACAACTCATATTTGCTCGTCACTTACCAGTAATAAAGTGGTTTGCAGTGGCATTAGCCACTGAGAAGCCAGGCTTCACCTGAGCTCTACATGTGGGTTTAAGCCCAAACAAGGCCAGAGCAGGAAGTTACTTTTCTCCTTATTTCATTTCATTTGTTAGTTTCAGTCCATCCTGCTGGACTTTTGCTGTTGCCTTAGAATACTGATTCTGTTACGTGGTGTCTTAATTATCTGTTGTCCGGAGACTTGATAAACAAATTCTTTATCTTCACACAAAGTACTAGATGAGCAGGGCAAGGAAAAGCGCTGACTTAGCCGCTGGCCCCTTCCCCTACGTCAGCTCCTGTCGCCCCACCGCTGGGCGAGGCTGGCCATGGCCTCAGGTTTATTCATCACCAACCCACCAGCCCAACCTTTTATGTGGTGCCCACCTGGCTACCCAACGAGACTTCTGCCAAACACTTGTGCTGCAATTCGGAGAAACTCTGTCTGTGGCTTTCACTGAACACGCCAGTCCAGCGACCCCATTATCGTATCTTAGAGACGGCTCTACTTCCCAGGAGCCCTGTTCTCCTTCCTGAGGAATCTTTGGAACCCTTTCAAAAGCTACTTTCATTATGTCTCTGTCATATTCAAAACCCTTGGATGTGCCCTACTGCCTTCAGAGCTATCTCCGCTCTTCATCCTCACACTGGAAGCCAGGCACAGGGACAGGTCGTGCTGACCCCAGGCCGCTCCTTACTGACCAGCTCCTCAGCAACCCTCCTCTCTTGTCCCTGTGTCAGAACTCACCTGTTCCGTTCCAATACCCTTGTGCTAATGTCCCTCCTCTTCCTAGAGCTTCTTCCCAGCCTTCATATCCTTCCAGGCCCATCTCAAATCTTCTTTTCTTACCCTCACTGAATATATCTCTCTCAAATTATTTACCCTCTGAACCCCGAGCTCTTATTATTCAAACCCTATCAGAGACCACCTCATCCTGTTAAATATAGTTCTATGCATCTTCAGCAGAAAGCAGTAGGAATAGAAAATGTGACCCCATTGTTAGCAATAATAGAAAAAATGGTCCTATTAATTGCAAGCTTTTTGAGAGCAGGCCAAGTCATGGGAACATCTCTGCATTCCCCAGCCTCATATGTACTAGATGCCCAGAAAACTCTAGTTTGATCTCACTCCCATAGCACAGCTGGCTCCAGTAAGAACGGGCTTCAGAAGCCTTGGGTTGGGTGGGACCATCCTTCACGGATGCCCAATAGTCCATGCCCCTGAACCATTCCCTCACCTTTCATCCTGTCCATCATCTCCATGGTCTCCCCAAACAGCTCCTCTGCCTCTGTCTTCACACTCTGGATCCGGGCACCCTGCTCACCCAGTATGGGACTTCGACCCAACCGGTCCTTCAGCTTAGCATACTTTTGCTTTATTATGTCAAATCCCTGAAAAAGGTAGAACAGTCTCAGTGTCGTTGTCATCATGCAAGGTCCTAAAGACCTGTGGCCAAAGCACTTAATAACCCCCAAATCAACATACAGTGGGAAGGCGTCTCCTATGAACCCCCAATAGCATTGGTTTTGCCTGTGAAAACCCCTGAGCCACAGACTGTGACCTAAACTTCCATGTTTCCCTCTTCCCATCTCCAGCTCTTGACATTTCCCACCTCACTTCCAGCACAACATCAGTCACATCATAGGATGTTAATATTAAGCTGTCACTTAATAGTATACATAGCAACTTGGTTGCTATGCCAGGATTGAAAGTGCCTACGTTCAGTGAGCCGAGATCATGCCACTGCACTCCAGCCTGGGCAACAAAAGTGAAACTCTGTCCCAAACAAAAAAAGAAAAGAAAGAAAGAAAGTGCCAATGTTCCAGGCCATGGGGGAAGCAGGTAGTGTGCTTGAGGCACTGAGAATGGGCTCTTTGCTCTTCTCTCTCATCTAATTCTGACAATCATGGAGCCCAGGTTAGGTTAAGCAAAGAGCATCTACCCAGGCTGGGGATCCAAGAGACAAGCTCTGGATCCAGTGTCAGGGGGCCTGCTTTGTAGATGAGTTTTAGGCCCGTGAACAAGTTACCACCTCATCTGTAAAAGGAGAGGGCCTGTAATATCCCAGCACTTTGATAGATCACGAGGTCAGGAAACTGAGACCATGATGGCCATCATGGTGAAAACCTGTCTCTACTAAAATACAAAAAATTAGCTGGGCATGGTAGCACACACTTGTAGTCCCAGCTACTTGGGAGGCTGAGGCAGAGGAATCACTTGAACCCAGGAGGCAGAGGTTGCAGTGAGCCGAGATCACACCATTGCATTCCAGCCTGGTGACAGAGCGAGACTCCGTCTCAAAAAAAAAAGGGAGAGGGACTGGCCTAGGTCATCTCCAATGTCCCTGAGCCAGCTATACTAAGGCAGTGAAGGGAATGCTTGGCCAGGTTTGGGTTCATTCAGAAACTGTTCTGTCATTCTAAGTGCTTTTGAGTTTGTGGTCTTATAAAGTGTGCAAAGTCCTCTCCTGCTCAGGACCCTCACTGGCTGTGCATCGCTGAGCTAACTCTGCCTTCTCTGTACCTTCTGGGCACTCATTGCCTGCTCGCTGGCACCTTCCGCAAGCCGCTGGGCCTGGACTGCCTGTGCCCCCTGCTGCCGGGCCTGGTGGCGGAGCTCTTCCATCCGTGTCCAGAAGTCACCCAGCTGCTTGGTCATGCTTGTCACCAGCTTTTCTGCTGGCCGCAGTACCTGCTGAACCTTTGTGGAAAGAGGGAGATCTGGCATGTGTGGTGGGTCTCATGGGTACGGGGTTCATCCCCATTTTTTCTCCAACTTATCAGGCAGTGAAAACCCTCTCCAACCAGAACAACCGCAACTGCCCAGCTCCCACCCCTGCCTTCTGCATCCCAGCCACAAGACCAGAAACTCCAAGGCCCAAAGCCAACCCAAAGGAGTGCCACCCTCCTCCAGAACTCCACCTCAGATTTCATCTATTGTCTTTCTGGCATCTTCTATGCCTGGTGCCTGAATTTTCCTGTTTATTCCCAAATATGGGTGGAGGAAGCCATCGCGCCTCACCTCAGCAACCCTGTCCTGGATAAGCCGAAGGGAGCGGCTGGTGCCTTGCATGGTGTCCTGCGCCTCCTGCAGTGCCACTGTGCCCTGCCGCAGGTTCCCAACCACATCCTCCACCTGGCCCTCCACTGCATGGGCTCGGCTCCTGGGTGAGAAAAGCAAGAGGGAGAGGAGACAGAGAATGAGTGAACAGTGCATCCATGCGTGGTTCAACTCACACACCAGTCCAAAAGCACACCCTTCCCAGCCAAGACCAAGAGCACCGGGAGTACTAACTCGGCAGCTTTAACGGCCCAGGACCCCACGAGGCAGACATGACGAATGTTCGCGCTATGCCTGAGACACCCTATGGGCACAGTTTCCAACATAGAAGACACAGTCATGCAAGTTAAGTTTAACCTGCACTCTGGACTGTGTGTGCCACTCCCCACCATGGTAAGCTCCTGTCTTCCAGCCCTCTGCACCCCTTTCCCAGAAACAGGGTTGAGGGGCAAATTGCCAGCCTAGTCCTGGGCAGAGAGAAGTTCAGGGCTCAAAGCCATACCTGGCTTCTTCGGCCTCGGCCTGCAGTCTGCGGGCCCTTGCAATGTCCTGCTTGGTCTGGGAGAGTACCAGGTCCACATTGGGGAGCCTGGCTGCAATGGCCTGGATCTCATTCATCTTCTGCAGAACAGTAGCCGAGTCTGTGGGCAGCCACAGGGCCAGCACAGCCTCGCTGACCTCCTGGATAGTGGCTGCATCAGTGTCAGGGTCTGGAAGGCGACCATGCATTAGATTGTGGGAACCCACTAGCCTCCCCAAAGGTCTGACGCCTCCCCTGGCTAAGCAGCACTCACAGAAGGCACACACGGTGGCCCCTCTACCGTGCTGCCCCAAGGGGCTGCTGCCCCCTCTCAACCAGACTTAGGTGCCTATTCTCTGGGAATTTCTGGGAATGCTGTAGGAGGATGACTGTCCTGTGCTCCGTGCTACAGAGGGAGGAGGAGGAGGGGTGTCGTCACAGCTGTGGCAACTAAGTGTCTGGTGCCACAGGAAGCTGCGGGCTGGGTAGAAGGAGGTGGTGCCAGACAGCTGGTACTGAACAATGTCTGCAGCACATCCACAATCAGCCCTAAATTGGGAAGAGTGTCCAGAAACTGGAGCTGCTTCCTTGGCAAAAAGACCCCCTCCCTCCACCCCGCCTCAGGCCAGACGGCTCATTTTTGCAAAAGCAAATAAGAATGATCAGGTCTTTGCTGGAATGTCACCTTCACAGGGAGGCCAACCACGGCCATCCCATCTAGAACTGCAACCTCCACCCTAGACTGCGGCACACCTTACCCTCCCTCCCCGCCTCATCTTTCTCTCCAGCACTTGCACACCCATGTGCCAAACACTGTACTCATGGGACTGGCTTTGTGGTCTCTTTTCCTCTGGAATGTAAGCTCTATAAGGGCAGGGACTGGGTTTTGTCCACAGTTACATCCCCAGACCCCAGCAAGGCGCCTGGCACTTGGAAGTCCTCGTGCGTGTACAGTGAATGAATGATTGACAGGGCTCCAGGTCCAGATCTTGTTTTACTGCTCAAGCCACCTGGGCAAGTCAAGTGGCTCCTCTGTGCTCAGTTTCCTGGCGTGTGAAAAAGGAATATCAATCCCCAACCTGAAGATACAGCATGAAACAATCTATTCGCAAGAGTTGTTACAAACCAACTCTGGGCCAGCAAGTAAGATCAGAAGTACAGAGATGATATCTCCTCCCCATCTCTCCCAATTTGCTTTTACAGATTTCACTGGTATTATGTTAAGGAGGGGGGCACCCACTCACCCAGATGGTTTCCTCTGGGACCTGAACTCCTCTGGGGACCCAGGCCCAGCCTTACTCTACAACTAGAGGATGCTGGCTAGCTACACAGATCCCATTCCCTGCCCCGTCCCATGCCACGGGAAAAGACACTCTGGAGGGAGGAAGCCATGCTTATTCATTGCTGTGTCCCTCGGGCTTGCATGTAGCAGCACACTGCAGGAGCCCAAGGTGTATCTGTGGTTGAGTTTCACTAAGTGGGTTTATCCCAGCAACAAGGTTTCATAAAGACCATCCTCACAGAGATCATCAACCTCTCACTTAACCTAGTGTCCTAGAGTCCTACTCTCAAAACAAGGCTTCACATGCACCTTCCCCAGAAAGCCTTCTGGGATGAGCACATCCCCACCTAGATCTGACCCTTCCTTTACTCTGCACCACTTCAGCTGCACCCTCAGGCTCAATCTGCATGACACTCAGTTGCAGGGCCTTCTGGGTCTCAGGATGGGCTCAGTAAATATTTACTGCTTTGAGCAAAAGCATGGAAGGAGTTGAGCCTACAGATCAAATTAAACTCAGTCCCTGCCTTTATGGAGCTGGAAATCCAATGGAAGACAGGCACGTGAACTAGGAAGTACAGCTTTGAGTGAGTGGAGTAAGCACAGTGCCAGGATGGCCATGGGAGCGGCCCCCAGCACAATCTGATAGGTCCAGGGAGCCTGCCTGGAGGGTGGGATGCCTAGGAGGGTTCCTAGAGGATGAGCAGGAGCTGGCCCGGTCAGCAGAGGTGGGAGAGGGGAGACAATCCAGAGAGAGGAAGAACATTTGCAAAGGCAAGAGGCCGGAGAGTGTGCTTGTGTGTGCTCGCATGTGTGTATGCATGTGTGTGTCCATGCCGTCATGCAATAGGGTGTGGATGACAGAGCCAGACCATTAGGCTTGAAGCCTACAGGCACCACTGCCAAGTTGGATGCCTTTAGGCAAGTTGCTTAACCTCTCTGTGCCTAGATTACTTGTGTGCAAAGTGGAAGTAATAATAGTACTGAGCTCATGTAGTCAGGAATAAATGAGGTAATACATGCAAAGCACTTGGAGTAATGCCTGGACCGAGTTAGAACTTAATAAGCCTTAACTATTCATTTTGTCAATTCTGTTTGAAGAACTGGGAAAGGCGGTGTTTCTTCCTCCCTCCACAGACTTTCAACTCTCCCTCCCACACCATGACCCTACATCCAACAGCAGCCAGTGCTCAGTGGCTTCTGTACCAGGACTCTGGAGCCCCGAGTCTGAGCCCACCACTACAGAAAATTTTCCTGCGTCCCCCTGACTGGGGCCAGGCCTCTCTCAGGCCCTTCTCTCTGACCTTGGACTCATCATAAGACTTGATTTGAGAACAAGTATAAGAGAGAGAGCAAAGGGGCCTGGCAGCTCCCTGCCTGTTCACGTGAGCCTCGGCTGCACCCAGCAGGAGAGAATTCTGACCCACTTCCCACTCCCTGAGGCCAGAGCCCTGGCTGACATTAATGTAGGATGAATGGCCATTCAGTCTCACTGGACTTGACTTGGGGTAAGACTCCCTTATCCATGAGCCTAAGCCCCACACCTTGACCTGCCCCTGTGCACAATCTCCCTACATCCCCAGGTAACATTCCGCCCCCCCCGCCCCTACCCGTGTGGGCCTTATGCAAATCATGAGACCTCAGAAGAACTTTCCTGTTCCTCTCTGGCCTGCCATCTGCACTCAGGAGGGGACTTTCGATCTGGGACAAAAACACTATAATAGTAGCAAGAAGAGCCACTGTCATTACACCAAGCCCTGGGCTCGTATTAACTGGGCTCCCAGCCAGGCAAATTTCCTGGCAGGAACCAGAAATCTAACAATATCAACTCTTGTTCCTGAGGCACCTTTCCTTTTTCAAAACACATTTTATATCAGTTATTTGAGTCTCAGAATAAACTTGTGAAATACTACCATCCCTGTTTATAGAAGCAAAAGATGAGGCAAAGAGAAAAGCAGCCTGCCCAATGTCACCCGAGTCTCCTGGGTCCTGTTTAGGGATCTTTCCATTGCTCAGCCCTTCCTCACTCCCCAGGGCAGTGAGGATGGGGATCTGGTTCATTTATTCATGCCACCAATGTCAGACGCCTTTCTGTGTCTGGCCTGATGACACAGTGGTCAACAAGACAGACAACCATCCTTGCCCTCCCGGCGTTCCCATTCTAGTGGAGTGACAATCCACTTGTAGACAACTGAATGAGGGTGAGTAGTGAGAGGAAGATACGACACTGAAGGGGAATGGGGGAGGACAGGGGACAAGCAGATCAGGTAGTCAGGGAACATCTCTCTGGAGAGATGACCCAGAGGACAAGAAGCAGCAACCCTGGAAGGAGGATTCCAGGTAGAGAAAGGGCAAATAAACACCCTTGAAGCAGGCAAGAGCCTGAGACGTTCAAGGACAGCCAGTGAGTAAAGCAGACAGGAGTCCAAGGTCACTCCCAGGAGATGGACAGAGGCCAGGCTCTGCAGGCATGGTAGGAGTTGAGAGCTCACTCCAACAACAAGGTGAAGCCACTGAGGGATTTTAAGCAGGAGAGAGATGTGATCTGACTTATACATTTTAAAAGAGCTACTTCAGCTGTTATGTTGAGAATGAGAATGGGTCACGAGGGAGCGGAGTAGGTGGGGAAGGGCAGACAGGAGAACAGGAAGGTTATGGCCATGGTGCCGACAGAGGAGGAGGCCTGCAGCAAGGTGTCGCAGGCCTGCGGGGAGGGAGGGAGGGCTGAATGTGGGAATGAGGGACAGGTAGGAGTGGAACAGCAGCCAAGGTGGTGGTGGACCCAGGCTCACCTGTGAGGAAATCCCGGACCTGCTGGATGAGGAGCCGTGTGCGTCTGATGTCTTCCTCCATCTGGGAGCGGCTGGTGCTCATCTGGGTCTCCAGGCGCTGGGCAGTGGACTGAATCTGTGAGGCAGATTCCTCGGCTGCCCTGATCTGTTGACACACACTTTAGGTCAGAAGGGGTAAGGCCCCAAGGGAACGTCTCAGCAGCCCCAGGATTCTGTGGCTCAACATCTATGCCAAGACCTACCTAGGAAGCATTTGTAACCAACCCAGTTTATATGTGGATGTCCAATAAAAGAAAAAGAACTATTTTACACTTGCTGTAAAGCAGTTTACACTGCCTTGAGCAGATCGCCTAACGTCTCTGGGCTTTAGTGTAAAATGGGAACTCTGACTTGCCCGGGGGCTCTATTCTGTCTGCCTCCTCCCTCGTGTGCCCACCACACCTCGGCCGCACTTACCATCTGCCTGGTCTGCTGGAGCTGGGCATTGAAGACCTGCAGCTGCTTAGCCACCTGCCCCGCCGTCAAGAAGGCCCCACTGGCCCTGGGAAGGACACCTTTGCAGTGGGAGCCACAGGCTGTGCCATTGTTTTGGGGACACAGCTCACCAGGGCATGATCCTGGGGTGCAAGCCATCTGCCTGGAACTGCCACAGAGCTGTGGAGAGATGCAGGTGTCAAAGAGGCTACCCAAAGCCCCTCAACAACCAATCCCACCCCACACCTGGGAAACCAACAGCCAGACATCTCCACGACAACCGAGCACCAGAAACAGCTAGACAGCTCCATGACAACCGAGCACCAAAAACTGGTTTCCTTGGCAACCACTGAGCTCACAGTGAGCAGCACAAGGGTCAGGATGGCTGTGGGAGTAGGGTTCTCCCAGGGGCAGGTCTGCCCTAATGGGAAGCAGGCAGCAGCAGTTGGTGTGTGACAAGCTGGGGTAGGGGCTCCAGGAAGTGGGACTCCATGCCCCAAGTCACCTTGTTGAAGGTAGGTGTCAGGTTAGGCAAGGAAGACATCTCCAGCCTCAGGGCCTCAAGCTGGGGGCCGCCGGCGCCTCCTCCTCCTCCCGCCTGCTGCTGCAGCCTCTCTGCCTCTCTCCGGCTGTCCCTGAGCTGGTGCAAAAGGCGTGAGCTGTCGGAGACCTGCTGAGCAGCCCGGGCTGACTGCTTGGAGGCTGTGGTCAGCATCCGGAAGGCTCCTGCGGCGAGAAGGATGAGAAGAGCGGGGAACGGAGATGGAGGAGGAGCAGGAGGGAGAGGGGGTGGCGTGCCCAGGACCACGGCAGTGCCCATGCCTGGAGCTGTCCGGGTGCCCCTCTCCTCACCTGAAGGATCAGCACTGCTTATTTTTTCAAACTGCTCCCTCTTCCTCTGATACATAAAGAGGAGACCATTGAAGCTTCTGTCCAGACTCTCTAGGTCTCCCAGGAGGGACAACGTTTCCTCCTCTAGGGGCAGATCAGGCTGCAGGCCCTGGAGAGTTCGCCTAAAAAGGGAGAGGAGCTTACACTACCATACAGGAGGAGTTTTGCCTCCCCAGAGCTGCCATCCCCTTAGAGAAACTGCTACTGAGTGAGAACAAACAGAGGCCTTGAGCAAAGGCAACAGAACAGAGAATCCACAGGCTAAGCATCTTCCGCGGGACAGAGGTCGGCAGCCAGCACCACCTTTCTCTGTCCAGCTGTGGGTGGAGCCACAAAACTCTCCTCCCTTGACTTCTGAGACCCAACATTCCCAATTCTCCTCCCCTTCTTCCAGCTCCTGGCTTCCATGAGGAGCACTGCCCTGATGCTCTCCTCCTTCACTCTCCACAGGCTGGCTTCAGCCACCACCTGCACAGCTGTAGCTCCAAAATCTAGACCCCATCACTGCTGCCAGCTGGTCATCCCCCACCACCAAAGAAGGCTCAGGGTTCTCCTCCCAGGCCCACGGGCACTGAGCTCTCAGAGAGTCCTCTCTCCCCATGCCCTTTGCAGCTCCACCAACCCAACCACCAGCTCCCTCCTCCAAGCCTCACATTCCACACCTCTAGGCTTTGATCAGGCACAGAATGCAGTTCCATGGAATGCCCCACCATGCCTGCGTTTCCAACCTACTGGACCCGGTGGACTGACTGCCCAAATCTGACTTAGGTCAGAAGGCACCTCTGTGAAGCCTGCCATGACACGTTAAAACATGCGTCACATTATAGTTTACCATTTATACGTCATTCTCCCCAATGCGAGCTTCTTGAGGGCAAAGACTATGCCATATTAATTTCAATAGCCCCGATGCCTTGTACAATGCTTGGTTCATGAAAGATGCTCTAAAATTATGTAAAGTGAATGAATGAAAGAAAAAGAATGAATGAATGAACCCTAATATTTGCTTGACTGCCTTGGCCGAGCCCCCAGCTAGAAGCTCTAGCTCATTGTAAGTCATGGAGCCTCCTTTTTCATTCTTGTCAGGCTGCCTTTTCCCTCCCTGCCACTCACACACCTGGATGGCTCTGTGCACCGTCAGAAAGCCAGTGCTCAGGGAATGCAAGCTAATTTATAGAAGCTCCAGAACAGAGTCTCACTAACAAGGTGCCTCTGCTGGTGGGATGGGGGTGTGGGTGGGACCACTTGCATTCCAAAGGCACATGTGAGTTATTTTTAGAGCCCCTGCCTCTCGGATGCCCTCCGCCAGGGTGACTAATCCAGAGCTGACTCTCCCACGGGCAGCACTGGGCACTTGAAACAGCGCTGGGCTTGGGCTCCTGGGCTGTGTTCTGAGTCCCAGCTCTGCGCTTCCGTGGCCACATGGCTCTGGCACATCACCATCTCTGCCTGTTTTCTCATCTGCAAAACGACACCAACCTCACAGGACGGTTGTGATGGTTGAAAGAGACAGTGCCATGAAAATGCATTTAAACGGTAATGTGCTGTATAAATGTAAGGAAGGACCAGTGTGCCCCGTATGGGAACCCAAGGGGCATAATTCTTCCATGTGCTTGGCAGGGAAAGTGAATTACCTGAGGGAGAGGATGGCACTGGCCACCTGAGCCACCTCCTGCTCTGTGACTGCAGCGCTGCTAAGAACTGCTCGGATCTGCTCAATCTTATTCTGTGCATCTAGGAAGCGGGAGGCCAGGCCAGGGTCCTCCAGCCCCGGCCCTGACCACAGGCTGGCAGTGGCATTGCGGAGGCTGCCAAGGCGCAGGGCCTGCTCCCGGAGGGTTGCATCATAGTCCTGGAAGCAAGGGTGGCAGGATACGCACACCGGGTAGTGGTCGCAGTAGCCTCGCTGGCACTGGTCACAGCGGGGCCCGGTCAAGCCAGGGCGGCAGAGACAGCGGCCCGATGCCTTGTCGCAGCCTGGGCCCTCAGTTCCCCGGAAGTCACAGTCACAGGCTAGGGCCAAGAAAAATGACAGTCAGCGACGGGGTCAGGAAGAGAGAGACGCAGCTGTTGGGGAGAGCCCTGAAAAGGGGGTCGGACCTGAGGCTCTACACGACTTAGAATAACAGAAGTCGCAGCCAGAATAAAAACCAAGGTAACAGCTGCAGTGAAGGCGAACGCTTACTTGGCAGCTGCCATGTGCCAGGCACCACTCAGAGTCACGCACACACTAACTCATTTGATCTTCATGCCGCTCTGGGAGCTAGCACTCTTGTTTCCCCACTTCTTCTAGATGAGGCAACTGAGGGACAGAGAGGTTAAATACAGCATGCCTCTTCCTCAAAGGAGGAAACCGAGTCTAAAGAGGGGAAGCATCTCCCTCAAAGTCACTCAGCAAGGCAGGGGCAGAGCTGGGGCCGGAATCTCGTCTGCACACTTGAAGGCCTGTGCGCCTCTGGTGACATCAAACCGGCGTCCTGGGAAATGACAGCCTTTCCCCTCAGGACTCCCTTCCTCCCTCTATGAAGAGGAAAGAAACAGCCGCCCCTTCTTGCTGCTGCCCTGGAGATGGCTTCTGGGAAATGTTCCCTTTCTCAGGGAAGTGGGGAGCAAAGCAACCAGCATGTCATGGGAACACAGGGACAGCGGGGCATAGGCCCGCTTCAGGGGCTTACAGCCCACGCCAACTGGCTGCAGCATGTGCACTCACAGGGGTGCCCAGGCCCATACCACAGGCACCACTACGGGATGTCCTGCACTGCTACAGACCCACACGCCCCACCACATGCCCACCACGTGCTCGGCCCCCTCAGCCTCAGCGTCCTCCAGGCTTTGAGCACACACCTCGGCATCCTGCGGCTGCGTCTCCATAGGTCCGGTCTGGACACTGGCGGATGGCTGCAGCGCTGCACGTCAGGCCACCATAGCCTTCCCGACAGGGGCACTGCCCTGTGAACTGCATGGGGAGAGCAGCGTCAGTGGACCCTGCCTCACAGCCTCTGCCTTACCCTGGTGTGAAGGACTAAGTCCTAGATTCTCAGTCCACAGGTAGAATCCAGGGCTCGTGGCCACCTCCAGAGCTCCTGTGCCCACAAAACAAGGGCTCCCACTCAGAGATGAGCCTTGAAGTCAAGGCCCAGAGGGGCCCTTCAGAAGGTGTGGTGCATATGGCATTACTGACGGCCAAGAGCCACAGAGGGAGGGACAACTGGTGGCTTCCCCAAAGGAGAATGGGGACAGAAGCAGCCCAGCCTGACGGGGGAGAGGCCCGGAAGCGCAGCACGGAGGGGCAGCAGAGAGCCTTGTGTGGAGGACCCCTCTCCCACTGAGGGCCCCCGGGCCGCCCTCACTTCATACCTGGTTGCACTGGGGGCTGAGGGAGTTGTGCAAGTCGCAGGCACATGGCTCACAGCCCTGGCCACTGGCCAGCTTCCAGTGGTAGGGACCACACTGGTCACATTTGGAGCCCACCACGTTGGGCAGACACAGGCAGCGCCCACTCTCCTCGTCACACGGCATGTCCCTCCGGGACCCCAGGATGCTACAGTCACAGCCTGCAGGAGGAGAGCTGCTGAGCTCGGGCAGACACACCACGAAAAACTCACCCCCAGAGGACACACATCCAGGCAGGGGCCCCGCCTGGGAAAAGAACTGGGCAGGGCCGTTCCCTGCAGATGACATGGCTGACTCACAGGACCCCTGCGCTGTTGCACCAGTTCCAGCCACCTTGCAGCTCAGCACCCGCCTGCCCACCCTCCATCTGGCTGACTCAGTCCCACCTTCCAACCCGGGCCTGTGCTGCCACTTGCTGGAGGTCAGTGGCACAGCAGCTGGCTCTGGGGAAGAGGGCAAGAAGTCTGGATTCCTGGCACACCCAGGACTGTCTGGGCACACCCCCTCTGTCTACCCTGCAATGGGATTTGAAATACCCTAGCTTGAGGTTGGCTGTACTGAATACATTTTAAACAATCCTGCTCACTCCATTTTGCCCACCCTGAGCTATGTAGGGCACTCTGTTCTGAGAGCTTGTGGCCTGAGACACCTGGCATCTTTGCAGCCAATTTTCTGAGAAGCAGGGTCCACTGGCTCATACATCTTGTACCTGCAACTGTGTGTAACTGCTACCCCACATCCTGAGTGAAAAACAACTTTAAATGGAATTCGTTGTTAGGCACCCTCCCCCTTCCCCTAACCTGCTCCTTCTGCTTCTGTGATAATCTGCTCACCGCCCCCTGACCCTAAACTGGTATAACAATGTTGACCGCCCTTTGTTCATGGCCGAGAGGTTTGAGCGCTAGCTGACTCTCGGACGCCGGCCATTGAGGGCAGACTCTCAACAAACTCAGCGCATGGCGCCTCTGTTTAAACTCGTTTGGGTTTAACATTTGGAGGCCCCAGCAAGATATTATATCACCACCAGGCACAGACTAGGCTCACTCCAGACCTCCCCAGATGAATGGTGAATTATACAAGATGTGCCCCCTGAGACGTTCCAGGGCCCCGTAGGTCACCGTCTCCAGAGAGGAACAGACCGACCACCGCCGCTGCCCACAGAATTTGGTGCTGAGTCCATTGTCTCAGGTCCCAGGAAGGCAAATCAGACATGACTCTGCTCTGCCTGGTTTCTGGTTTCTGGAAGGGACAAGCCCTGACAGGGGCACCCCTTCATTGATCCTGTCCAAAATCCAGGATGCTGGAGGATAGGACCACGGGTCATTGAATTTGTCTGCTTAATGACAACTGTATTAGCCTCTGAATGAGTGTACGTGTGCATGTGTAGATTGAATGAGGAGGCCAAGGGCCTGCCCTTGGACCTCCAATTTGTGGCTCCACGGTGAACAACTATGGAGTCCGAGAGCGCCCCTACCTGCATGTCCGTAGTGACCTCATATGGCTTAGGGTGGTATTGGGCTCCACTCAGACCCCATCCTTGTCGTGGGTTTATACTGACCCACCGATGCTAAAAGGCACCTAAATTCCTGTAAGGGAAGCGGCCAGGAGGGCATCTGAGTGGTCCCTCATGGGGCACCCCTTCCCCATTTCTGTGTGTCCTCTGTCTTAGTGCCGTAAGTCTGGCAGCCGATATTGTCCCAGGCAGCTGGGGAGAAACTTTTTCTCTACTATCAGTAGACACCTCCTGCCCCCCTGGGACAGTGGCTCTTGTCTGGCGTCTGGGATGGTCGTCTAAAAATTGTCTGTACTGTTTCAAAACCATTAAGTGCTGCTATGGATTAGATTGTGAACCTCACCCTTATTGACTGGAAGTTCTGGCACCATAGAGACTGCTGCCAAGTGGACTGTCACAGTCCCCGGTCATACGTCTGGCTGCCCCCCACTGTGAATAGGTGGCAAATCCAAAACAGCCACTGCTGACTTGCTGGCACACCTGTTCTGCCACCCAAACACTTTCCCCAGCCGTCTCAGGCTTGCTGAGTCATATGTAAGGCGAGCTTTCGCTCTTCCAAACTCCTTCCTAGCCCTTCCCAGTGAACTCTGGTACCCGGTGGACCCGCAATCTAATACCAAATACCCCCCCAGACCGCGTCCATGCCCCGTACCACTGAAATCCCTCATTCTCACCAGGGACAGATACTGCAGGACCTGGCCCTTATGGCTCTCCTCTCTTCCCTCACTGAGAGAGCAAAATTCGAACTCGAGGCTTTCGACAAGTGGAGGCACCAGAGGTACCCTGGTTATAGACGCAGAGGAAGGCAGGCATCAGCCCAGTATTTCATCTGATTCTTCCATGTGGCAAGCAGCTTTAGCCCTGGCCCTTTTTGTTCTCTATTTGGTTATAATCCTTCTGGCTTGTAGGTTCTCTCAACTATCCTTTCCTGGCTGAGAATTTCTGCCCATGTTGGGTATAATTTTCTCTTGTAAGCCAAGACGGGAAATGCACCCTCCTGTTCCCATCCTCAGCCACCTACTCCTTTACAATGTATGCTTTAACTTTTCCCTGGGTTTCACAGGTGATTATGGAGTTCACCTCTCAAAAGGCTGACTCCACACCCTGTGTAAACTAGAATGGCCAGCTTTTAATGTGGAGTGGGTGGACTCAGGGTCACTGGACCCTAATGTGTCCGGGCTGTTTGGAGGGCAGTTACGGGAAATCCAGCCCCCCGGCCCAGTTCCCGTACATTGATCAGCGGCTACACTTGCTTCTTAACTCACCGCCGTGGCTCTGATCCTGCTTCTAAAATACTCCTTAACCGCACCACTCGGTCGCTGCCCTCTTCAGCTGCAGCCCCTCCAGTTCTGCCTCCGTCTGAGGAGGATGAAGTTCTTCCCCTCCTTCCCCCGCCTTACAAGCCAGCAGCCCCAGCAGGGTCACCCACTATTACTTCTTCTGTTCCCCCTGCCGCATCACCGCCTGTGCCTTTCAGACTCCAGCCACAACAGGGAGAGGGGGCTATCCCCCCTCCCCCTAAGGGAAGCACTGCCTTCGGCTGGTGGTGAGCTAGCAGCCCCATTTTTGGTTTATGTCCCATTTCTACCTCTAACTTGTGTAACTGAAAAGCTCAGAACCTGCCGTTTTCTGAAAAACCCCAGGCTCTGACCTCTCTGGTGGAATCCATACTTCAGACTCATCGTCCTACCTGGGACGACTGTCAGCAAATCCTCCTCACCCTTTTTACCATGGAGGAGAGGGACCATATCCGCAGAGAAGCGTGAAAGCATTTCCTCTCCTCCACTGGTCAGCCTGAAGAGGAAGCCAGAGGCCAGTTGGAGGAAGTCTTCCCTACCAGCAGACCAAACTGGGAACCCAATTCCTCGGGGTGGAGGCAGGCTTAGGACAACTTTCACTGGCATCTACTCACGGGCATTCAGGGAGTTGCATGAAAACCCATGAATTTATCCAAGACCACGGAAGTGGTCCCGGGGGCTGATGAGTCTGCTGGGACGTTCTTGGGACGTCTCCAGGAGGCCTCTCGCATTTACACCCCATTTGATCCGGCAGCTCCCACAAATAACTGTGCTTTAAATTTGGCTTTTGTGGCTCAGGCAGCCCCCAGACATCCAGAAAAAAATTACAAAAATTAGAAGGATTTAGTGACATGAACATCACACAACTTTTAGAAATAGCCCAGAAGGTGTTTGATAATAGAGAAAATGCTGCTGACAAAGCTTCCAAGAGACAGGCAAAAATTTTGGTGACTGCCCTCCAGGAGACATGGCAGAGACCCCCTTCCCAACAAATCAACAAGAAAGACAAGGGCCATCATCACTTGGGGGCCCAAACCCCACTACAGCAAGATCAGTGTGCTTACTGCAGACAAACTGGACACTGGAAAAATTAATGTCCCCTAAGAGAGAAACCGAGACTAAAGACACTCCTAGCCATGGAGGAGCTAGAAGATTGACGGGGCCGGGGCTCATTTTCGCTTGGCCCCCCGGAGCCCATGGTTACCGCCACAGTAGGGGTCACCCTGTAAAATTTTTAATTGACACCTGAGCAGAACGCTTGGTATTAAAAAACACCTTTGGGCCAAGTCACTAATACAAAAGTAGCAGTTCAAGGAGCCACAGGAACTGTTTGCAAATACTGAGTCACGCAAACCCGAGAAGTAAATTTAGATCACAAAAAAGTAACTCATTCCTTTTTGGTAGTCCCAGAGTGCCCATATCCCTGATGGAAAGAGACCTTCTCCATAAACTGCAAGCCTCTATCTCTTTGTCGACTCAGGAAACACACCTAACCTTAGAGAACCAGGACTCATCAACCACCCACCTCTTAGTAACAACCCCCTTGTCGGAGGAATATCTCCTGGTTCTAAGCTCCCCAACCATGGCCTTGGAGAACAACTCCCTTATGTTGGAATTGCAGGCCCAGTTTCCTCATGTTTAGGCGGAATCAAACCCCCGAGGACTGGCAAAACACCATGCCCCCATAACTGTAGAACTATTGGCCACAGCTCTACCGGTACAAGTAAAGCAGTTCCCCATGAGCCAAAAGGCCAGGGAAGGCATGAGTCCCCATATCCAGCGACTACTGCAGGCAAATATTTTAAGACCATGCAAGTCGGCCTGGAATACTCTGGTCCTGCCAGTGAAAATGCCTGGCACCAATGACTATCGGTCAGTCCAGGATTTACGGGAGGTTAACAAGTGGACAATCACTGTACATCCGACTGTCCCAAACCCGTACACCCTCCTCAGCCTACTCACGCCAAACCAGACAGTATACACTGCCTTGGACTTGAAGGGTGCTTTATTTACCATCCCTCTGGCCCCTAACTGCCAGCCAATCTTTGTCTTTGAATGGACAGATCCAAACTCAGGAGATACTACCCAGGTAACTTGGACCTGATTACCCCAGGGGTTCAAAAATTCTCCCACCCTTTTTGGAGATGCTCTCCAATGGGACCTAATGCCTTTTCGGGCCAATCATCCAGACTGCACCTTGCTCCAATATGTAGATGACCTACTGCTGGCCATGGAAATGGCTGACAGTTGCTTACAACATACAAAAGACTTTTTATCCATCCTCCAAGGACTTGGATACCAAGTCTCAGCAAAAAAGGCCCAAATCTGCCCCTAAAAGGTATCTTATTTAGGATACAAGCTCACCCAGGGAAAGCGGGCATTTTCCAATGCTCGGAAACTGGCTGTCTTGCAGATCCCAACCCCAACCACAAAAAAACATGTGCGGGAATTCCTGGGGGCCACAGAATACTGCCACCTCTGGATTCCGGGGTTTGCAGAAATTGCCAAACCCCTCTGCACCACAGCCAGTGGGAGTGGGGAATTGATCTGGACTGAAACAGAGGAACAGGTCTTTCAAAACCTAAAAAAGGCTCTCACTGAAGCACCAGCTTTGGCACTGCTGGACATGTCAAAACCTTCCCACCTGTTTGTCCATGAAAGCAAGGGCATGGTCAAGGGGGTCCTCACTCAGACCCTGGGACCATGGCAAATGGCCAGCTGCCTACCTATCAAAAAGATTGGACCCAGAGGCCTCAGGTTGGCCAAGCTGCCTGTGAGCAGTGGCAGCTACTGCAAGCTTGGTCTGGGAAGCCAATAAGTTAACCCTGGGCCAAGAATTGGCCCTTACAGCACCCCATGCCATGGAAATCCTGCTCAGAAGGACCTCGGGAAAATAGATGTCAAACTCACAAATCCTACAGTACCAGAGCCTGTTACTGGACCAGCCCAGGCTAACTTTCCATCCTGCGTGGTGCTGAAATCCAGCAACCTTGCCCCCCGACCCGGAGCTCTCTGCTCCCATCCATGACTGCCAGGAAATACTAGAGGTCACAGAAACTTGCAGGATACCCCTCTAAAACAAGTGGATGCCACTTTGTTCACCGATGGAAGCAGCTTCATCAACCAGGGGGTGCGCAAGGCCGGCGCAGCTGTCACAACCGAGACCGATATTATTTGGACTCAAGCACTACCGGTTGGCAGCCCCGCACAGAAGGCTAAATTAACAGCCCTCACCCAGGTTAGGCAAAAGACAAGCGGGTTTAACATTTGGAGGCTGTCCCCCACTGTAAAATGGTAAACCCGAGTGAGTTTAAACAGAAGCGCCTTGCACTGAGTTTGTTGCGAGTCTGCCCTCAATGGCCGGCATCCGAGAGTCAGCCAGAGCTCAAGCCTCTCGGCCACGAACAAGGGGCGGTCAACATTGTTATACCAGTTTAGGGTCGGGGGCGGTGAGCAGATCATTACAGAAGCAGAAGGAGCAGGTTAGGGGAAGCGGGGGCTGTCTTACAACGAATTCCATTTAAAGTTGTTTTTCACTCAGGATGTGGGGTAGCAGTTACACACAGTTGCAGGTACGAGATGTATGAGCCAGTGGGCCCTGCTTCTCAGAAAATTGGCTACAAAGATGCCAGGTGTCTCAGGCCACAAGCTCTCAGAACAGAGTGCCCTACATAGCTCAGGGTGGGCAAAATGGAGTGAGCAGGATTGTTTAAAATGTATTAATCACAGCCAAGGTAGGATATTTCAACAGGATCCCTGCGCTGTCGCACCAGTTCCAGCCACCTGGTAGCTCAGCACCTGCCTACCCACCCTCCATCTGGCTCAGTCCCACCTTCCAACCTGGGCCTGTGCTGCCACCTGCTGGAAGCCAGTGGCACAGCAGCTGGCTCTCTGGACTCCTGGCACCCCCTCTGTCTACCCTGCAGTGGGATTTCCTCTGAAGAGAGCACAGTAAGCAGGTTAAGCTGTGGGTCTGGTGGCCCCATGCAACCTGCCCCCTACTCACGGTGGCAGCCCTGCGGGTTGGCGTAGGTGAGTCCAGTGAAGCCCGGCTTGCATAGGTCACAGCGCTCTCCCTGCACGTGCTCCTTGCACACGCACTGCCCGGTCACTGGGTCGCAGGGAACCCCTGGCACTGCCCCATCCGGATCACACTCGCAGGCTGAGGGACAAAGGCAGCCATCGCAGTAGGAACAAAGAAAAGTAGAGTTCAGAACCGATTCCAGGAGCCAGGTTGCCTGGTTGAGATCTTTGTTCCACCACTGGTTTTCAGTTTCACAGCCCTGTCAAGCTACTTAATCTCTCTGTGCCTCAATTTCCCCATCTGTAGAATTAAAGTAATGATACAGCCTCATAGGCTTCTTATGAGAAATAAATGAGTAAACATCTGGACGCGGTGTCTCACACTTGTAATCCCAGCACTTTGGGAGGCCAAGGTGGATGCATCACCTGAGGTCAGGAGTTCAAGACCAGCCTGACCAACATGGTGAAACCTCATCTCTACTAAAAATATAAAATTAGCTGGGCACAGTGGCGCATGCCTGTAATCCCAGCTACTAGAGAGGCTGAAGCAGAAGAATCACTCGAACCCAGGAAGCAGAAGTTGCAGTGAGCTGAGATCGCACCATTGCACTCCAGCCTGGGCAACAAAAGTGAAACTCCATCTCAAACGAGAGAGAGAGAACGAAATGAGAAACACAAAGCAGGGGAGTGCATTTGGCACATGGTAAGTACCATAGAAGTCGTTTTGGTGTCATTATTTATTGAGCAACTACTCTGTGCCAGCTACTGAACTGGGCACTCTGAAATGTTGCCTCATATAGTCCTCACGGTAATCCTGGAGAATATTATCCTCATGGTACAGAGGAGGAAACTGAGGCTCAGGTATGTCAAATAACTTATTCAAGTTCTCATTACAAGTTCATGCTGGAAGCAGGGATCAAACTCAGTTCTGTCTCACTCTTCCCATAAGCAAACACCAACAGAAAGTGACTCAGCTTTCCCCAACCCTCGCTCCCTGACTTCTTTCATGCCTTTCAAAATGTAAGACCCCTTCATCCCAAGCGTCTTTTCTGACTAAACCTGCCCAAATCAGATTGCTGCAGTGCAGGCAGCCCTCTCCTGTATGAAGGCACTGTCTCTTGTGGGCAGTGAATCGACTTCTGCATGTTCCCTCCTATTATATTCGCAAATGCTCCCTGAGCCTCAGAGACTTTTCCAGTCAGTGTGCCAGGGCCAGAGGACATGAGAAATAATCCTTGCCATGGAGGAGTTCTTGATGTTGGGAGAAGCAGAAAATTAAATCTCAAACCTCATTACAACATGGTAAAGGCGACAGTATGCATACGGAAAAGGTGCTTTCTCTCCTCTTCATGTGTGTATAGTTTATATTGTCAAACAGTGTGTGTTGTTCCCCGATGGCAGAAACTGTATCTTCTGTTTACTTTTTTCTTTCCTATGCCCCAAATAAAGGCCATATATTGATGGATTGTCTGATTCATGGTCCAGAGAGGTTAAGTGACTTGCTCAGTAATATTCAGCTAACTTAAAATAATCTCCCACAAATCCTGACTCACAGCCAAGTTTTCATGCTCCCCAAGGGCCTTGGTGTACCCAGGAACATGTGGTCTGAGGTACCCAGAGGAGATGGGGAGTAGCAAATGACACTCTTTGTCTCCAGAGCCTCTACTCACGGATGCAGGCCTCCTGAATGGAAGCACCAGGGCGCCGGTTCCGGAAATAGTGTAGCTGACACCGCTCACAGTTCTTGCCTTCCGTGTGGTCCCGACAATTGTCACACACACCTCCATATGCCCCCTGGCTGGCGGCAAACACGGTGGGGTCAAAGTGACATGTCTCTGAGTGCCCATTGCAGTCGCACCCTGGAAAAAGAGAGTCCCAGGGCTGACATCTGGCCCACGCCTTTGCCATCTTTGAAGCATGGCCACAGTAGCTCACTGGCATCTATAACAACTCTGAAAGATGATCAAGGCAGAGAAGTGGGGAAACTGAGGACAAGGGAGGTTTGTACAATTTATTTAAGGTTACATGACCAATAAGAAAGCAGAGGAGATTAAGAACTCAAGCTCCTGATTCCTAGGGTTGGGATAAACCCAAAAGCACGTTGAGCCAAAGAAAGAACCCTTTGAATGCTCTATCCCCAACCCTCCCACTGCCAGCATTGGCCTCCTGGGTCATTGCCTGCCACTGGGCTGAGAATCTTTTTCTCATCTATGTAAACAAAGGCCCTGATTCTAGGGAGTCATTTGAAGTAGATGACGATAGGAAACAAGACATGCCCCAAACAGGGTAAACCAACTGGAGGGGCTGGAAGAAGCGGGCTCTGGGGTTACTGTGAAAGTTACATGGAATCGGAAGCATGAGCCAAGCCATGGTCCCTCCAGGCGTGGCTGAGGAGGAGGCAGGGGCCAGTGGGAGGATACCACCCAAATACTCTCTCCATCCTCACAGAGCTAGGGGAGCTTGAATTATAATGGTGTAATTCAGTTTAGATTTACATAAGAAAAACTAGATGCCCCTGTGTCCCAGGTGAGGTCATTGAGGCCTAGAGGGGCCGACACTCCACCCAGACCCTACAAGGTAGGGGTGATCCAAAGCTCCTACTTTGACATTCATGGGCTTCCTGGCCCTCCGCAGGTCTCCAGGGCCGGTTATTGTAGAAGGGCGCACAGCGTTCACAATTTGGGCCCGCGGTGTTGTGCTGGCAGATGCAGACATCGTGGACCTGGGAGGGGGACCATCAGCCATCAGGAGTAATCAACAAAGGAGGGCCCCAGGGATGGACCTGCCCGCTCTCCTCTGACCCTCGGCACACCACTCAGGGTCTGGTTCAGACCTCAACCCTTCCAGGACGCTTTCTCTGAATGCCGCAGACTTCACCCAGCTCCTGTGACACTGCCTGCCATTGTTCTGCACGTATGAACACATGTGTGTGTGTGCACGTATGCATGCCAGCACTGCTCCCCTAGCGAGGTTTTTGCAAGCTCAATCCTTGCGCTTGGACACCCCTGTGACAACCCATCAGAGGCAGCAGCTGGAAGATGCTCAGACACTCTTGGCAAACTGTGGGATCCAGAAGCTGGTGGGGCCCTCTGGAGATTTCTATTCCAACAATCTATCACTACAGTTGTTTGGCTAATGGAACTGTTGTGATGAATTGTCACTAGACTCATTAAAGTATAAAAATAGAATAGCTATTGTGTGCTAATTGCCTTCTAAATTAAGCCCAACACCTTCACCTTGGCATTCAAGCACCTGTATCACCTTAGCTGCATTCTCAGCTCCGACGACCTGCTGACAGCACAGCAAGCTGAACTTCTAGCTCCCCCCTGTGCGAGCCCTACTTTCTCCATCTTTGGGCCTTTAGCAGTGCTTTTTCTTCTGCCTAGAATTCTCTTCTCTCTGTATTCATTCGCAAAATCCTGCCAGTTAGGCTCCAGCTAGAATGGTACCTCCCTGATAAGGCCTCCCTGGTCCCTCTAATTCCCTAGATCTCAACCCTGGCTGCACCTCAGTATCACCTGGAGAGCATTTTTTAAAATGCCAAGGTCCAGACCCAATTCAGTCTGAATTTCGGGGATGAGGCCCAGGCAGTGGCATCTTTTAATGGTGGCGATTCCACTGCACAGTCAGATTTGAGGACCACCAGGGCTGGGTGGCTCCCTCCCTCCTCATCATTTCATAGCAAGTTGTATTCCCTCTGTGTCACTCAGCCTTGGGTTCTAGGAGCATGTCTCATGGGCCCTGACAGATGGCACACTCCATGAGCTGGCCTCCCTCTGCACACCTCTGCAGCCTGGGACAGAAGCTGGCCCAGAAGTGGAAAGCAGAATGCCAGCTGAGGCTCATGCCACCTCTATTTCCCTCCCAGGTCAACTTACATGAGGTCCTCCTGTCCCTCTATCCCTAGGAAAACTGTCACGCACCCATGCTTCTTTGCTCAAGATTCTCTCTTCTTTACCTAGTTCTCAAGCTTGGTTTCACAGCAAAATCCCCTGGGAGGGGAAGACTTATTAAACTTGAACTTCTCAACCCCCATCCCTGCTGAAGCCGATGCGGCTGGTCTCAAGTAGACTTAGCATCTGTACTAAACATTGTTCTCTCACTCTGCCCCATATCTCACCTCTAGATGAGACTTTAGAATCCCTAAACCAGTGGCTCTCAGGCCTGGCAGTATATTAGAGTCACCTGGGGGGAGCTTTAAAAACCAATCATAGAATCAGAATATCTTAGGGTGGAGGCAACAGTTTTAGCTCCCAGTGAAATAATACATAACGAGGGTTGAGAATCATTGCCTTAAACTCCCCACCAATTTCCACACTTACGTAAATGAAATTAAAATCATCTCAAATTAAGAAGCAAGTTTAAAGAAGTACTAAACGATTCTGATTTTTGGAATGAAAACTACTTAGATTTTTTTGTTGTTGTTGCTGAAATATTGAATAGCTAAGTCTTAGATGTAGTGCCCTCCCTGCTTTACTGGAGCCCCAAGAATGTCTGTAGTCTGCCGTGGTTCTGCCCCCTCCTCTCCCCTTCCCACCCTAGGCTGTTACCTGCACAGCAGTGGAGGGGCCTGCAGAGGCCCCAGGCTTGGGGGCACAGCGATCAGCGTGGCCATGACAGAAGCAGCTCCCCTGCAGACGCAACTGGGACACTGCATAGTAGGCACTGGGAGGGTGGTAGCCCCTCTGGGGCACACGGGCCAATCTGGTGAAGTTGACTCTCAAGTTTGTGATTTCCCCCAGCTCTGAGAGGGCCAAACAGCAAGGAAAGAGGGGTTGGAGAATGGAAAAGAAAGAAAGGAAGTTAGAGGCACAGAGTCTCCTTGCCTTCATAATGTGATACTACGGGCCATCCTCTCCAGACCTCAACCATCCCACAGCATCCCTCAGACAACATCCCTATGGGGTAAGTAGGGCAAGTATTAAATCCCCAACCGCGCCGACAGAAACATGAAAGACCAGGAAGTTTCCACGACCTGGATTCCAACTCTGTTTCCTTCACATTTATAGTTCCATGGACAAGAGGAGTGGCCACACTGACCTTGAATTTTTTGACTTGGAGTTGCTGGAATCCCAGATGCTAAATCCATAAGGTTAAATTGGACCTACAGAGGGAAGGGAAAGAGCACTGAAGAAGAGGCAAATACTGAGCTTGTACTCCAAGCTCAGAAGGAGCCTTTCTTTCCACTGTATGCCCTGCCCTCCTCACACTTGAAGTCCTTGTTACCAGGAACCTGAGACAGACCATGTCTATGAGGTTTGTCAGCTGCTTTTGGGGAGCAAGATGACCACTGGATCCTAAATGAGTGTGTGTGTGTGTGTGTGTGTGTGTGTGTGTGTGTGTCTACCCGCCCTCTCTGGTTGAAAATATACGCATCCTAAGAATCTCCTGAGTTCCCTGGGTCAAAAATTATGGTAAGATATATCATTTACATATGAGGGTTTAGGAGACATGAATTTTCTGATAACTCAGGTTGAGTGAGAAAGTCTAAAACCCAAAGATGCATGAATATGGGTGACCACAGCACTCTGGACAATTCCAATTTCAACTATGCTTTTGATTTATTAAAAAAAAAACAAAAAACACTCATTAGATGTGATTTCATCTACATATCCCAGGAAGAGTTTTCACATCAGCCCTCCACAAATTAGGAAAACGTCCTGTGTTCTGATCTGGCGTGTGAAGAATGTGGTTAGCATAGATTTGGCTAAGGGTATAACCCAGGAGGAACTGCTAAACTCAAAGGAAAGGGATGCATGTCTGCAGAGAGGGCCCCACTCTAAGTGTCTGTCCACACGAGAGCAGCTCTGAGGGCTTACCTGTGTCTCAGCCAGGGAAAGGAGAAGAGAAACTACAGCCTTTTCAGCCAGGGATGGGGAAAAGCAATTATGAAAGAATTTGATCCACATTGGGAGGACTTAGGGAGAAACATTCTGAGCGTGTCTTCAGGCAGGTTGTTATTTCTAGCTTAGGGTTTCAGCTCAGGCTCTGGGTTATACCAGAATTCCCTCCAAGGGCTAAGGCTGGGTTAGATGAATAGATTAAACTGAAAATGTTTATGTCTGTGTTAAACCCTACCAAGGTGAAATGAAATTTGTGTAATTTGCTCACTTGCATCTAACTAGCCACCCCAAAGTCCTCACACCAAAGTAGTGTTGATTTCATCCTCCCACTAGAGAGATGAGCCAATGAGTCATGGGGGAGGGGCCACGGAAGAGGGCAGGGGTGGGTCACGCGGTGGCTCCAAGATGTTTCTAAAATATCCCTCCCCAGCAAAGACGATAAGCCACAGATGTTTTGAGGGTGGCCACAGGGGTCATTATTGGGGGGAATTCAGGAAAGTCAGCAAGGGGAGCTAAGGAAGGCATTTCCACGTCTTCTCAAGAGTCCGTGTGGCTGTGTGAACAGAGGGATATCGGGGACTTCTCCCCAGGACTACTTTTCAGGATTCCCTTCACCTACCTTCCCCCCATTTAGGCGCGCATTAGGCCTCTGGGGCAGGGACTGGCACCGAACATCCTGCCAGCTCTGGGGTCGGCCCTGGCGGACCCGAGGGAAGGCGGCGGCACAGTCAGCAGCCAGGTACTGGTACACTCGCCAGGTCTTACCGAAGTCCGAGGAGCGCTCAATCAGCATGCCGGCGGGCATGGGCCCCTGCAGAGACAGGGACAGTATGCAGAGGGGAGGCGCTGGGGCTGGGCCCCATGGAGACACAAGCAGAGAAACAGGCTCCTCCAATGAACTGGGGAGAAAGGGGGTCCAGTGGGAGCAAGCGGGCTCAGGAGCATCCGGGTCCAAACCTCCTGGGATGCCACAGGCCACGGAAGTTTCTCCCCAGGATCTGCCTTCCAGAAGGAGTGATCCCTAGCTCAGCTCACCAGGTTTCCAGGCTAGACATTCTCCTGCTCCTCATTTCCCACAGCCGACCATTTTTTATTCTGTCTCTCCTGGAACTCATGTCCAGCCTCCTCTGTCCTGGCCCTCCAACTCACATTCCCGACTTCACTAGAGAGATCTTCCTGGGTAGTTATCTGATCTGTGAGAGCCTCAATCAGTCTGCATTGCTCTCAAGATATAATGTGAGCGCCTTCGCATGACATATTGAGTCCCTGTTCCTTCCTGCAGTGATTTCATCCATTTTTGGTGGCTTTAAATGTGGTCTTTATGCTGACAGACCCCAGCTTAGACCACTTCCTGGAACTGCAGGTCTATAAACTCAGCCTCCAAAGTAGATCCTGAACAAAGCCCAGGCCTGTCTCTCACCTCCTGCCTGATCTCCCTAGTAAGCTTCATCTGATTTCCCCTTTCCCCATGTTCACTCTTACTCAGTCATATCTTCTTCTTCTTCTTCATTTTTTTTTTTTTTTTTTTTGAGACAGAGTCTCGCTCCATCACTCAGGCTGGAGTGCAGCAGTGCAATCTCAGCTCGCTGCAACCTCTGCCTTCCAGGTTCAAGCAATTCTCATGCCTCAGTCTCCTGAGTAGCTGGAATTACAGGCACACACCACCATGCCCTGCTAATTTTTGTGTTTTTAGTAGAAATGGGATTTCGCCATGTTGGCCAGGCTGGTCTCGAACTCCTGACCTCAAATGATCTGCCTGCCTCAGCCTCCCACCAAAGTGCAGGGATTACAGGCGTGAGCCACCACACCCAGGAATTTTTGTATTTTTAGCAGAAACAGGGTTTTGCCATGTTGACATGGTCATCTTCTTAAAACATAAAATGGGCCTTGTCACTCCTCCAAAAATCCTCCAATACTATTCTGGAACAAAATCTGAACTTCTGACCATGAGTGAAGAGGCCCCAGGCTTCCCAGGCCCTGCCTCAGCCCAGGCCACCTCCTCTCTTCAAGCCCTAAACCAAGCTCAGTCCCCCCTCCAAGTCTTTTGTCCAGTCTTTCTGCTTGGAATGCTCCTCCCGCTGGTGGGTTCCCTCTCCTCTTTTGTTCTCAGCTTCAATGTCATTTCCTGGTGCAGATCTTTTGATACCTGACTGACGTGCATTCTCCTGCTCATGTCCGACCCACCCCACCCCACCCCACCCCATTGTTTTCTACTCCAGCATCTTGTTTCCTTCAGAAACATCACCACCATTTCCAGTGATTTACTTGTTGGTTTCTTGCTTTGTATTCTTTTCCCATGAGATCAGGATTTCTCTACCGTTCTCACTGTTGAAGTGTCGAGTTGGGAGAATCTTGGTCCTAGGGGCTGTCCTGTGCACTGTTATCTGTACACAGCATCCCTGACTTCTACCCACCAATCTCATTGCATACCCATAGTTATGACAACCCAGAATGTCTCCAGAAATTGTCAGATATCCCCTGGGGGAGAGGAGAAGGCAAAATAGTACATCTGGTACTATTTTGAGACTCAGTACACCACACTGTAGCCCCTATTGACTATCGGGTTCACAGGTGGACCCCCCATATCTAGCACATCAGTGTTAAGTACACATTTGTTGAACAGATCTTCAGCCTGCTCCCCTCCCCCTGTGTATACCTGGAAACTCATCTCACAGCAGTCTTCAGCCCTCCCAATCCCTGCCTCTCACCACCAAGCACATTTTAGCCTCCACGCCCTGTGTGCATTTCCTTGCCCCTACCCCCGGTCATACATCTCACCTGCTTGCCGCTTGCCTCCCAGCCTTTGTGCTTATGGCTCTTTTTGCTTGGAATAAACATTGCCCTTCACCTGACCATTACTGGTCTATGAAGGTTCATCTTCCCCTGGGTGAACTCCCTGAAAAACCCTCCCAAGGCAGATCACACAAGAGCCCCTTCTGGGCTCCCAGCACTTCTTCCTACCAATGTCAGAGCACACATTTCACTCTCTCACTACTGACTTCCCCATATGGTGAAAGCATACTTTTTCACATACTTTTCCACATATGGGGAAAGCAGGTTGAAGATTGTGACTTGGTTTTATTCATCTTTATATCCCTAACATCTGACACCAAGCCTAACTGTAATCAGTGTTCAATAAGCACTCATAAATAATTGACAGATAAATGAACAGGTGAGTAATGATAAAGCGAGGAGACTTTAACACTGCCCATCCAAATGAACGCGGCCCTTCAAAGCTGTCGCCTTTAGAGACTGGGCATTTATTCAAACGATGCTGGCATTTCTCAAAATACTTTTGACCTTTACATGGGGCGAGGCTCTTAGAGCCAACTTCTTCAGTCATATAAGAAATCAGGTCCTATTACTTTTTATTCCAAGCTCATTTTAACTCCTGAAAACTATATCTGCCTTCCTGATCATTTAATCTTATTAACCAAATTTGATCATTCAATATCTGGCTATTTCTGTAGAAAAAGTAAAACCAAATCATCTCGGAAAAGAAAAAAATGACCTGTGGCAATTAAATGAAAATATTACCTCCAAAAGATGTATCTAGAAGGCTGTTCTAAAGGCAGAATCTGAAAGTGCTTTGAGAAGTAATGGCGCTGAATGAGTAGATTGCCCACCAAGAGAGCTTCTCCAAAGGAACATCCATCAGTTAATTGGATAGGCAAGTTTTTGGCTGCTTGTTCAACTCAATCTAATATGCAAAGTTATTAAAACAGAATATACCAAGAATACACAATTATACAGCAAGCAACACGGGCCCAGTAGAATTGGTACTTGGCAGAACTGAATTAATTAGATGGGTTAAGGGTAGGGAATGAGAGAGGAAGAGGACATCCAATCACTGTACGACCAAGATAGGGAGCCTGGAGGTGCCACTGTTTGCCCAGGAGCGAGTCCTCTACTGTCACCATGTTATAGCCTCACGGTGAGTGTTGCCCCAGCCCAGAGATAAGGATGTGGTGCTCCTCCATGACTCCACACCCACATGGCCCAGGAGCCCCTCCCCTAACCAATGCCACCCCCAGGAAGCGCACCTTGAACTCCATCATGACATCCTGAAGCTGGAATTTCCTGTCCAGGTCCAGCTGCAGAGAGACAGGGCTCACATCTGGAAGGACAAAAAGTAGAAACTGTCAGCCAGAGACTTTCCACTTCCTCAACCCTGAAGGAAGCCCTGGACTAGACTAGCTCTAGGAAGTCAGAAAGTCTCCAGCCTTGACTTCCAATCTCCCTCTTGGAGAGGCGTGGGGAGTGGTATGTTTCTGCTTATATTATCCATCCCAGACCTTATCTGGTTTTGGTTAAGTCTCCTTCCCACCGTTACCTGATGTCTTCAATACTTTGGAGGGCTTCAACTTGCCTGGTCGACATAGACTTGTCCTCAAAACTTAATTCCACAAGCCCACCCACTGAGACTGAGTGGAGGGAAACGGAGACATTCCTCTCTCCTCACATTCTTGCCTTCACCTCCAACAAACTCTTCCACCTACCATAATATCCAACAGACCCTAAATATGAGGCCGAAAGGTTCTGCTTGTCAATCACCCATGTCACACCACCATAAGAAATTTCTGTCAAACCCAAAGGGTTGCAGGGCACCTTCCATCCACCTCATCCTGTGGAGCCTGCGTAGTTTGAGACCCTGTAGATGGCAGATGCTCACCATTCTGTGACTGCCACCAGCGCATGGGGCCAGAGGATGAAACCACGTTCTCTACTCGGTGACTGTTGTAGTTGTGAGGCTGCCTGGAGTCACACTTGCAGCATTTCATCTGCCACTGTGCGAGAGGGAGATAGCAGACACTCAGAGGTGGGGTCCTGGTAGAATTCCCCCTTGCGTCCTGAGATCCCAGCATATCCCCTCTGTGGAAATCCTGCCCCTAGGAATCACTGATTTTATTAATACACTTGGAATGATTAATCTCTTAAAACAGGGCTATTGGTCGTCTTTTAATTTAACTACTTTGTGTCCCTCCTAACACACAGCAAGAGAATGGTGAATAGATGTGTGAATGGGGAAGAAGTACAAGGTGGGAAAAAATACGTGAGTACATGACATTGCCCATTGCCTTGCAGAGAAACTTGAGAAAAGTGCCAAGGGCAAAAAAAAAGGCGGGGAGAGAAATTCACATTAATTGAGCACCTGCTACGTACTAGGCACAGGCTGGAAAGTTTTATAACTTATTTAATCCTGGCAGCCTGGGAAATTCTGGGGTTTTAAGGATCAGGGAGAGAGGACTCCAAAAGAGGATGAGGAAATGTGGAGTTACAGTCCTATCTCTGTCACCCCTGCTTCCTATGTTGAATGTTTTCCTCTGTAAATTAAGTGGGGATTGAGCGACAGCCTTTCATCTACCCAACAAATACTTATTTAGCGTATACTATGTGCCCGGCTCCTCTGGGCTCTGGAGTTATAATAGGGAACAAAACAAAGGTCCTGCCCTCAGAGAGCCAAAATTCTAGTGACAGTCGGATGATCGCTAAAGCCTTCCAACCATGACATCTGGGGCTTGAGGATCTTTCTGAGGTTCAGTATTCCCTACCTGCAGGAGAGCAACCAGCCTCACTGGGGAGGTCCCCAGTAACCTGGCCTATGCTTATCTCTTGGAATGAGACAGGAGCCAGAACTGAACCCTATGGGTTTCATGGCAGAGCCAGGATCACCAAGAAAAAGAGCATGGCCAGAGAGGCGACACATCTCTTGTTCTTTAGTGTGTACCTATATGCATACATGCACACATACACACACACACGCATGCACACATACATACACACAGATACATGACCTTTTCCCAGTTCCCCCATGCAACCCACATAAAATCTGTCTTCTCCGAGTAACCATGACCCCAAATCCTGTGTGCAGCTGAAACAATATGTCCAGAGAGCTCCAGATTCACCCACAGATAGATACAAGGCTTGGACAAGAAGATCCTGGACCTTTGGGTCCTTCCGGGTAGGAAAAACTGTTCCTCCACACACCCTATGCCTCTGCTTTCCTCTAAGCCTCCACTCACCAGAACAAAGAACCGACCCAAAGAGACTGAGTGGACATGTGGGGCCTATGCCTTGAGTGATAGAGCCTCCCTGCCCAACTCCCATCTTCCCTCTCCAAAGCTGGTACAGCCTGCAACAGGAAAGAGCAAGGAGGGGAGCCAGGGGTCTTTGTTCCCTGGGCCTCAGCTTCCCACGCCACTTGCCAGCCGTCACCCAGTCTGCAAGTGAAGAGAGCTATCACCCTTCCTAGTGCTTGGAGGTGCCCTTGGCATGTCCAAAAATGCTTCATTACACACTAATTCTTTGGGTGTTTAAGGCCCTTTATAAAGTAGCACCCCCTGCCCCACCTCCCACCACTCACTGTGCATTCCCTTGCCCTGCTCTATTTTTTTCATAGTACCTATCTCCACTTGACACATTGTACGTTTATGTCAATTTATTTATTTGTCTATTGTCTGCCTCTCCCTTCTAGAATGTGTACTCCATGAAGGCAGGAATTTGCTTTCCTTCACTACTGTATTCCCAGTGCTTAGAAAAATACCTAGCACATAGTAAGCCCGCACTAAATACTTCTTGAATAAATGAATAGCAAATTCTCAGTAAAGGCCAACTATTTGCATTAGCACTATTAATAGGCACACCCTCCCTGCACTGGGGGAGTTTGAAAGGAGGCGGGGAGAGTGAGGAGGTAATAAAGCATCAGTAGCAAGTGATGGAGTACAACCACGTGCAGAGGCGTCGTTGGTAGCTTCAATGCAATAACTTACTAAAATCTCACAATAACCCTATGTGATAAGTAGTATTAGCCCCATTTACAGATGAGAATACTGAGGCCCAAAGAGGAGGATGACTTTGCTATTGACTGATCCCCACCGTCAGCATCAGAAAGGGTCCCTCTCTTCTCTCTCTTTCTCCCTCCTCTCATCCTCTCATTTCCACTAGAAACAGCGGAGTGGGAGAGATGTGGGGAAACACGCCAAAGGGTAGCAGTCTCTGTCTCATGCAATGAGCCCTAAGAAGGGCTTGGTCGGATCTTGAAGCTGATCTTGGGGAGACTAAGGCAGAGAGAGCACTTTGGGAAGACATGGGGCTTCTTGGGCTGACCCAGCTCAGTTACCACAGAAACTGGAGACCTGTCACTGGCTGAAATACTTGAGCACTTAAAATAATCCTTTCTGGGCAACAGAAGGAACTTGCTAGAGCCTGACTCCCCTCCAGACCCCTATTTTGGTCCCTGGCAGTGAGCATGCCCTTCTTATACTCTTCCCAGCCTCTCAGGGACAAACTTTTCCACTCCCGTCCTCTGTCTGCACTCAGCACACGTCCTGAAGAGAGACAAGGGCCAGCTGCCTTCCAGCCGCCTGTCACCAGAGCTTCCCCCCAGCTCTGCTGGGAGCTGGTCCAGCCCTTCCCTGGTCAAGCGAGTGCCAGAAACAAGCTTCTTTCTTTCTCTGGGCCATGGGACAAGGAGCTGGAGACTGCGGAAATGCCCTTGATACTCCCAAACGACAGGATATTATGTAACTATTAAAAATGCTGTTTAGAGAAAAAAGTTTAATTGCATGGAGAAATGATTATATTATGTTTTTGAAAAAAAGCTGGACATACACTTGCATATGCATTATAATCTCAAATATATATATATATGTATGTGTGTGTATATATATATGTATATATTTCCATTTAAAGAAATGTTAAGTATTTGGAAGGAAATATACCAATATACTAAGTGAAAACATGAAATTGCTGATATTCACCCGTTTTGACCTATAAAAATGGCAACTGCTTACAGTTCAACCTGATATCTCTGGGTAGCAGATTCATAGATAACTTTTTTCCTTCTTTGTTATTTTTTATTATGTTTAAACTTTTTATTTATTTAGGTTTTTATTTTTTTGAGACAGGGCCTCAGTGTCTCACCCAGACTGGAGTGCAGTGGCACAATCTCGGCTCACCACAACCCTCCGCCTCACAGGCTCAAGCAATTCTCTCGTCTCAGCCTCCCAAGTAGCTGGAATTACAGGCACACGCCACTACGCCCAGCTAATTTTTGTATTTTTAGTAGAGACAGGGGTCCACCATGTTGGCCAGGCTGGTCTCGATCTCCTGACCTCAAATGACCCACCCGCCTCAGCCTCCCAAAGTGCTGGGATTGCAGGCGTGAAACACTGTGCCCAGCCTGTTTAAACTTTTCTACCTTGGATACCTATTAACTTTTATATTCAGGAGAGTAGATAGCATTATAAAACAAAACCAACTGAAAATGCCCAGGGTTTATTGCCCTGCTCCACCCTCAGTCTTCACAGGATAATCTGGGGCACCCATGCCTTCTTCTCCTGCCTTCCACATGTGCAGGCCCTGATGGCGGGATCAGATGGCCTCATCGGCTTACAAACTACGTGCTGCTTATCATAGTAACATAGCTAAAGGAGGGATTTATCTCAGTCCTCAGAGACAGCCTGAGCCAGCAGGCGAGACAGGTATTTTAAGTAGTTCTGCCTGTCAGCGAGCTAGCAGGACAGAGGCCTGAAATAGAGCGGCTTATGGCAGAAGCCCACATGAAGACAAGCTGCTAATTTATCCTTTCCCTCTGGGCCTCAGTTTCCCTTTCTACTTTATTCTGGTATGCTTATATGTAGGGTGCACACATTTGTAAGTGTTGTGTACATGTGTGATTCTGGGCATGAGGCTCTTCCTCCCCGCTGTGTGATGTGCCCCCGTCTCTCCCAGCGATGGGTGATTCTGGGCATGAGGCTCTTCCTCCCTCCTGTGTGATGTGCCCCCGTCTCTCCCAGTGATAGGTGATTCTGAGCGTGAGGCTCTTCCTCCCTCCTGTGTGATGTGCCCCCGTCTCTCCCAGCAATGGTAGCTCTCTGCTGCAGCTGTCTCCCTCTCTGGGGTCATTTGGCCAGCATTCTCCTGGCTGCGTTACCTCAGAGACACAGTACTATTATCAATTCAGCCTGTCAGGCCTCTAGCCAGTTTGGCTCCTGCTTGCTCTCCAGCTGGAAAGCCTAGGCCTTCTCCCTTATCCAAGAGCTTTCTAGAAGCTCAGCAGTCTGCCTGGAAGACAAACCCTCCCAGAGAGCCAGGGGAAGGCAAAGGAGCAAGAGGGCAAGACCCAGCAGGGGCCTGAATCACAGTGGAGATGGGTGGAAAAGGAAAGCACACACAAGTAAAAACTCTGAGCTTTTGCAAAACACAGAGAAAATTGTGGGGGAAAATAGGAAAACGGTCTCTGGTTATGCATGGCCCAGCTCCCTCCCATGAGGAAGCCAGGAGGCTATCTGGGGTTCATCTAAGAAGCTACAGTCGAGTCATGGCCACCAACCAGGGCCAAAAGCAAAAAACAAAAAAATCTAGCTGCCTTCAAAAAAAATACATCTCCTCCACTTCCACTTGCTTATTGTTGAAACGCAAGGGTTGGATGAGACAGTAAAGTTCCATCTTGTTCTAACATGCTCTTAGAATTCTTCCCTACTCTAGCGTATCAGCCCAGAAGTTAAAGGCACTCTCAGGAAGCATACAAAGAAAGCAAGAGAAAAATAAGACATTCACCAGATGCTATCCTGGAGAAACACATTTTCCAGCAATATGGACAGGGGTAAGGGGACCTTAAAGGCCTTTGGTCAGCCAGGCCTCTGTTAGAACCCACCACAATTCAAAAGCTTCAACGTTTCTATGTCAATGCATATTGCCAATGATCAAAAGTCAGTGCCTACTGCAGGCGCTGGTTGGGAAGAGGACTGCCAGGATGCAAGATACTTTCAACTTTGTCTTTATC